TATATATATTGTGTTTCGTGTTGATACATTGTAACATTTATATATGTATTTCATTTCGTTATTGGTACATTTATATATGTATATTGCATTTCCTTATTGTTTAGTGTTGTTGATCACGAGATGCACCTCCAAGTTCACGTTCGTGCAGAGTCGTTACATAGAAATGTACCAACAACTGGAAAAAACGAAATTTGATGAATACATGAAAGTAAGGGAATAAAAATCTTGAACTTCGCCACTTATATCTGTTATGAACGAGAACTAAACATTAGTTTTAGAAACTCTTCACTTTAATTTAACAATTATAAATTCATCCTTTTTTAAAATTAGGTTTGTTTGTTCGTTTTAGAGCAAAGCCACATTGGGCTATCTACTGTGTCCACTGCGGATAATCGAACCCCGGGTTTTAATGTAATAAGTCCCTTGACTTACCGCTGTTTCAATGTGGATAACATTTGTAATTGTCTGTTTTAGAGCAAAGTCACAATAGACTATATACTGTTTCAACAGTAGCGAATCGAACCCCGAATTTAGAGCTGTAAGTCCGTAAACTCCCCGCTGTCCCACCGGGTGACTCTTAATTAGGATGTATGAATAATTTCATTTTCTGTTAATCTTACGAAAACAAGCTAATTTTATTTTCCATTACAGAAACAAAACTTTTTACGTATTGTTTTTAACTGGTCGAGAAAACTTACCACCTTCTTATGATTTAAATTGTTTTTCGCTTCCTCTTTACCATAACAGCTAATCCAATTTCAGGAAGGTTTTTGTTATTATTAGACCACCATGGCCTAGTGGTTAGTGTTGCGGTCGAAAGGTCCAAGGTTTGTGTCACTTTCAACTGTAGATGCATTATAAAAAGGATAGTCAATTCCATTATTCGGTTCAAAGCCCTTGAGGCAGCGGGTGCTGCTGATAAATAGCATATTTATAGTCAACATATCAAAATTGAATAGTACTGTACGTGAACCCTAGGTGTCTCTGACCTGGCCCTTTAGCCCCTGTGTGAAAAGGATCGTATAGTGTAGTGATACATTCCATAGTTCTGGCATTCGCAGGTGCAATGATTACTTTAAAATAAGACTAGTAAAGAGATGTGTTTTAACAGTGTATTGATTAGATTGAATAGTGGGAGACACCCGGTAAAACGGTTAGATCATTCAGGTAACACAAGGAGAGTATTTAAGGGTCAGTATGAGTTACCTAGGAGAACAACAACAGTAGGGCTTAGACACTGGCATTTTGTGGGTGCGAAACCGGAACAAATACGTAGAATTAATAAACCAAAACAGTCTAAAAAGGATTTTATTGACTTAAATAAAAAAAAGAGATGGATAAATAATTAGAGATACGTACATGAATAATTATGTTAAATAACAATCAATAAAAAAAATAACTAAGCCTAAATTAAATAAATTATAGGAATAGTAAAATTTTATAATAATTTAGTACAAGACGTATCTTCATTTTATAAATAATTATGTAATTACCAATTTACCTCAAACAATATCTGTTGTTAAGTATTTATTTAAGAGGCAAGACTAACTATATTAATTT